CATTTAACAAAGAAAAATCAACCAAAAAAATGAGTTCGCATGTCACCTCTGACACACGTTTCATAAGTTCGCCATCACTGCATTCACTGAGCCAAAATGGCCAGGGCGTGAACAAGTATTTTTAACGCAGGACTTCTCAGAGCACTAATGTTAATATGCACTGTGGATCTCTAAGAGGGTATAGCATTCCCCAAATGAATTTGACCACAGGACCCCTATTTCTCAGGGTGTTCAAAAGGTAGAGCTCTACGGAAGCTGCTTGGAAATGTCTCAGTAGAGGAATGGCTCTATCTCCCTGACAATGGAAGGCGGAAGACCAAGGTGCTTTGGGAAGATGTTGCCTGACTAGTCTGCCCTGCGTTAGACAGATTTCCCATAGATAGCAGGAATGGGTGCCTTCCTACTTCTTTGATTACATGTAGGTGATTATATCCATTACTGATTGAAATCTAGGAAAGATCAATATGGATCATTTTCAGATTGATGTGGAAAGTCTTAGCACTGAACGAGTCCTAAGAAATCGCCCATTTAAACCCCTTCATTTCAGATACGGAGACTGAGGATCCAAAGATCTTAAGAGACTTGTCCTAAGTCCCAATGTTAGTCAATGGCAGAGCCACACCTGGAATCCAGGTCTCATTAATCCCAGTTTATGATCTTTTCACAAATACCAATAAAAGTGACCATTACTGATCAGTCATTGATACTGAGAAGGCAAACCAGGCCTTCTTCTTGGTTGCCCCCCCCCCAGAGGTAAACAATGTGAGTAAATTTAGGAAATTAATAAATGAACTCCAAAAGGGCTCCAGAAAATGCATCTTGTGTCACTATGGGGTGGTATCTTTAAGAAGGGAACCTCTGGGCATGGTGATAGCATTTTCTAAGTATACAAAGCACCGTCCATGATACTTTTCCAAAGTGAGTCATGTGAGTAACAATAGCATCTTCAATTTCACTACTATGATAAGGTTTCTTGAGCCATCGTCGACCTATATGCCTCAGAAAAAGAGAAGTTTCTTAGTCAAAGGAAAAAGGCAATTCCTTAGAGTTGAAATTATGTGCTTTGTCAGGGCTGATGCCACTGAAATTTGAAGCGAGTCAATGTTAAAGTGGATCTGAAATGTTCTATGATACATTATGCACAATATGATATGGTGTTAAGAAACGGCTGGAAATTTTGAGTCCTGTGAAAAATGAGTTACCTTCCTTGGGAGATGTATTTTAATTTATTTTTTTAATAAATAAGCAAGTTCGAAGTCCCTTAAGAGTATTTCATTATCATTAGAATAATTCAGTTCATGGCTAGAGCCAGTCATTTGTAGATTTAATTAATGAGTTTAATAATACATGAAAGTTCTTAATTCAGTAACTGTGCATGCTTAATGGCAGCCACTGAGCCAAAATGGCCAGGGCGTGAACAAGTATTTTTAACGCAGGACTTCTCAGAGCACTAAGCATGTTAATATGCACTGTGGATCTCTAAGAGGGTATAGCATTCCCCAAATGAATTTGACCACAGGACCCCTATTTCTCAGGGTGTTCAAAAGGTAGAGCTCTACGGAAGCTGCTTGGAAATGTCTCAGTGGAGGAATGGCTCCATCTCCCTGGCAATGGAAGGCGGAAGACCAAGGTGCTTTGGGAAGATGTTGCCTGACTAGTCTGCCCTGCGTTAGACAGATTTCCCATAGATAGCAGGAATGGGTGCCTTCCTACTTCTTTGATTACATGTAGGTGATTATATCCATTACTGATTGAAATCTAGGAAAGATCAATATGGATCATTTTCAGATTGATGTGGAAAGTCTTAGCACTGAACGAGTCCTAAGAAATCGCCCATTTAAACCCCTTCATTTCAGATACGGAGACTGAGGATCCAAAGATCTTAAGAGACTTGTCCTAAGTCCCAATGTTAGTCAATGGCAGAGCCACACCTGGAATCCAGGTCTCATTAATCCCAGTTTATGATCTTTTCACAAATACCAATAAAAGTGACCATTACTGATCAGTCATTGATACTGAGAAGGCAAACCAGGCCTTCTTCTTGGTTGCCCCCCCCCCAGAGGTAAACAATGTGAGTAAATTTAGGAAATTAATAAATGAACTCCAAAAGGGCTCCAGAAAATGCATCTTGTGTCACTATGGGGTGGTATCTTTAAGAAGGGAACCTCTGGGCATGGTGATAGCATTTTCTAAGTATACAAAGCACCGTCCATGATACTTTTCCAAAGTGAGTCATGTGAGTAACAATAGCATCTTCAATTTCACTACTATGATAAGGTTTCTTGAGCCATCGTCGACCTATATGCCTCAGAAAAAGAGAAGTTTCTTAGTCAAAGGAAAACGGCAATTCCTTAGAGTTGAAATTATGTGCTTTGTCAGGGCTGATGTCACTGAAATTTGAAGCGAGTCAATGTTAAAGTAGATCTGAAATGTTCTATGATACATTATGCACAATATGATATGGTGTTAAGAAATGGATGGAAATTTTGAGTCCTGTGAAAAATGGGTTACCTTCCTTGGGAGATGTATTTTCTTTTTAATAAATAAGCAAGTTCTAAGTCCCTTAAGAGTATTTCATTATCATTAGAATAATTCAGTTCAGAGCTAGAGCCAGTCATTTGTAGATTTAATTAATGAGTTTAATAATACATGAAAGTTCTTAATTCAGTAACTGTGCATGCTTAATGGCAGCAAGCAAATATTATTTAGTAATACAGTGATAGCAGTGGTATTTGCTGAGAATGTCAAGCTCATTTTTTATTTCAAACTTATACTGCATATATCTATAATGTGACTTATTTATCATTAGACCATATAAACAATAATTCTAAGAACAAAGCTTTCTGCCTGGTATACTTCATGTTGCCTAAAGTCAGAGCCACAGACAGTTCATGATCTTTCATTAAGAAGTTTGTTTTTAGTCATAAAATGCTTTTCAGTTAAAGCTGAGCTGTAAAATCACATTATGAAGGCACACTTAGGGTGTGACCACTCTATTGGGAAAAGTATGAATGAATGCAATTTGAAAAACTACTGAAAAAAATCATGCACCTTACTGAATATACTTGATGGATTCGATTTAAAAATAAATATACCTTTGCCATGTGATTGAGTAGTAGTTAAGCATGAGAACTCTAAAATTAGAGTTACCTGGGTCCAAATTCTAACTCTTTCACTCATTGGTCACATGACCTTTGGCTAGATACTTGATTATTATGTGCCTCGGTTTTCTCCTCTGTCGATAGGAGAGAATAGCACTGCCTATGGTGATTAAACAAGATATATACAGCTAGAACATACTTAGCACACATGTGTACATAATAAGTGCTTACTCATTATTATTATTATTTCTAAAGAATATCTCACAAGTTAGTGGGACCAACTACTTCTAGTGTGTGTGTGTGTGTGTGTGTGTGTGTGTGTGTGTGTGTGTGTCTTTTGCAGGGGGAGGGAAGAGTATATAATATCAATGTCTGATTTTAGAAGAATTTGACCTAAAGTTTTGTAGTATCCTATTTTTAGGTTCTCAGCACCACGCCACCTCTTGGGAAACTGTCTCACAGAACATTTTCTAAGGGAGGTTGAATTCTCCTTGCCCTAGCATTTTTGATGGCATAGAGTTAAGGATTTCAGAATTATTGCCAACGGTGGTTTTATCTTGCAGCTCTTAATTCAGAAAGTACTAATGGCTGCAACAGTGTTAACAGCAACAATACTTTGTTAGCTCGGGATCCTTCCCACAAAGCTCAGAAATGGTCTGGGGAGCAGATGTGCATAGGGTGGACCGAGAATGCTGGTGGTTTTGGTTTAGAATTTACACTTTACTTTCACTATTACTAGGCAGGATCAACTGAAATCAAATGCAAAACAAAGCAAGAAGGCAGCGGTCTTAAAGAAGAAGCCCAGCACTGAGAAACCAAGGCTTAAGCAGATACATGTACATACTCATTCATTTTAATATAAACTGTTTATGAGCAAAAGGGTTCATGTGGGTTCTAGAGCCTTTAGTCAATACAAGTTATACTGAAATCAGAATCAATACAATACTTTAAAACTCATTCTTTCAACATTTAACCAGGCTCTATGCTAGGCGTGGACACTGAGATGAATAAAAACACAGCAGTAAAGCAAAAGTGTAGCAATAAAGGGCAGCGCACCATGGTAAGTGTCAAAATAGAGGTTCAAGCAAGCGCTGTGGGCGCACAGGGAAGGGAAATTACACTGGTCTGGAGCCTGCAGAGGCTTCACAGAAAAGGCTACTTTTGAAATATGCCTTCAAGGAATGATACAACCCAACCTGCATTGTAGCTAACAAACAATGTAATACAATTACCATTTCCACAGGACCCTCTAGAGGGGTTGCAGATATTTTTTCTAGAATCTTAAAAAGTAGGTACCAATGTTCCAATAGATAGACGGAGAACTGGGATTCTAAGATTAGGAAGCTCAGCGTCACATGCCTAGTGAGTTGTAGACACAGGATTTGAGCCCAGATCTGTCTGTATCGTTCTAAGTCCCTTACCATTGCCCTGCACTGCCCAGAAAAATCTACTTATTCCCTATTGCCACCAGGACATGGCTGACTTGTAACTATGTGGAGTCTAAGTGTGGGAACTCATTCTGGAAGCCCATCTAGAATGTCAAACTTTGGCCTGAAGAGTTTAGTAGTCAGTGGAAGGTCAAGGTGGTGGTGGCTCTATATAGACACCTAGCCCAAGTGCTCTCTCATTTCTCTAAATTTCAATTATATTTCATTTGAAATGGTTTATGTGATTCGTGTCCATGCCAGGTCCCCTCTGCTATGCTTTGTGAACACCTTGAAGTCAGGGAATAAGCTTGATGCTTTGAGACTTTCAGGGTCCAGCATTCACAGAAGTTGGCTGATTGATTGATGATTCGCCTGGTGCCTTACTGGGGGCTTGATAAGTGTAAATGTTAACTTGAGTTAGGTTGACTGAGGTGAGGTGACTAGACTTAAGGTTTACATGCTACAGTTATTTTTTTAAAGTGACCTAAGCAGTATTACATAGTGGTTTTCAGACTAGTGCCCCTCAGACTTTAGTGTGTATGTGAATCACTTGACTTCACGTAGAACTATCCAGTTCACCCTATCAGAAAGCAGGCACAGAGTAGACAAAAGTGTTACAATTAAGCAAGTGAAGAGGGAAAGTAGGGAGACTCAAGTTGTGGGGTTATATCCCATTTCCAAACCTTGTTGCTATTCCCGGCCCCTTTGCTTTCGGGGCAATGAAGCGTAGTAATGGTATATAACAGCTACCTTGGTTGAGTACTTATAAAGTGTGTGGCATTGTTCTTGCTGCTTTAAGTATGTTATCTAATTCTCATAATACCCTATAGTTGTATCTAACTGATGATTAAAAAAAAAAGTAGCAGTTACTTCTTTACGTTGACACAGGAAGAGTAGTATTCTTAGTTCATCTGAGTCCAAAGTCTCAGGTTGAAAGGTTCCTTGATACTGGGTAGAGATGGAACAATTCAGGGATGCTTAAGCTTGGGGTCTGGGTGCCCGTGGTACAAGAAGGATAGAGGTGCGCTTTGGAAGCACTTGCAGGTTAAGGCCCACCACAGGAGGTCTGTGTCCTTAGTACTTGCTTCACGGAGCATTTAAATACATTTAAGAGCTGATCCTACCTCAAGGATAGTACCCAATGGCTTGCAAGGTATTCGAAATTTTTAGCAAATTTCTAAACTCAGCCTCTGCCTTTTCCCTAGGAACTCTCCCGGAACTTTCCCACCCACTATTTAGGAAGAAGGTCCCACCCTAGATTTTTGTCTTGATCTAGGTTCACTAAGGCTGGTGTTGGAGCCATCTCCTAAGGGCTAAAAAAGGATTTAAGGTAGTCTTCTGAGAGGGGAAACCCCAAAACAGTACTGGAATTGCAAATGTGTAGGAGTTTGCCAGGTTAGCTGGGGGGAAGCAGATAAAGCCCATGAGAACAATTTTGGACAAATGTCCATTCTGCCTTGGAAATGGAAATGGGGTAAAAGGAGGTGCCTACTTTCTTAAGGGTTGCTATGTAAGAAGAAACCAACCAGTCTATTAATTGTTCTATTCACGTACTTGGGTCTTTTCCTGGCTGCTGGGACAGAGCAATTGTTTAATTTGGGTGCTTGTAGAATAGCTGGTATTGATAAAGCATCCCAGAAGACTATATTACTTAGCAATCTTGCCTGTACATTTTTTCATTGGGCAGATTTTCCGTATAGAAGATAGAGTTTGCGTTTTCGTCCTGAAATTGGGTAAGGGAGTGTGGGGGAAAAATCATGGTGCAGATCAGTAAGAAAAAAAAACCCTCCCCCCATACTCTTAAACAACAGGTGGTTTTGACCAGCGCGGTCAACCCCTTTATGCACCACATGAAATTGTAGGCGGCGCATTCAATGTCAGTGTCCCGGGAATCTGCGGCTGGGAAATGGGGGAGGCTGGGAGTTGCGGGGAGTGGGGGAAGGGGGGCTGTCAGCGTCCTGCAACATGGGGGTTCCTGCGAGAGAGGAGACTCGAGTGTCAAAGGGCTGATGGGCTTCCTGGTCCAGGGAAATTAGCTTCCTCTTTCGGCGTCTACCTCCATGCGTTCCACGACTACTTCCATCCGTGGGTTCAGGTGGGTGGAGGGAAATAAGGGGATGGGGTTACCTCTACCGTGACCCGGGTCCTTCCCCGGAGTTCCCATTAGGGCGATTTTCAGTGGTGGCTGCCGCCTCTAACTTACCGGGGAGGCGCTGCGGTGTGGAGCGGAGGCTGCGCGCAGAGAAGGCCGGGGGTTTCCGCACATTGTTGGGGATTGGGGGGAAGGGGGAGTCGCTAGCCCCAGCCGATTCCTGGGGCAGAGCCGCCAGGTGGGCGGATCAGGGGCCCGCGAGGCCGGCT